AACATTGCACTTAGTCACATTAAACGGCAAAAGCCAGTCCTGTGATCTTTTCTCGAGTCGCGTCAGGTCTGCCTGCAAGCGCTCTTCGTCAAGTTCAGTTCGGAGGACGCTCCAAAGTTTACCATCATCAGCGAACATGGCGACAGCACATTTCAGTTTACTGATGCAGTCGTTGACGCATATAATGAATAGGGTAGGGCCAAGGACGGAGCCTTGAGGAACACCGCCTTCAACCGCTACCTCCACGGTCTGCCTGTCACCAAAGTGGACAATTAGAGAGTCATCGATCAGGAAGCTTTGGATCCACCTCAGGAGATTACCCCAAATGCCTGTTCGGCTTAATTTTTATAGGAGACGCTGATGTGGTACACTGTCGAGTGCTTTCTTAAAGTCGACGTAGACTACGTGCACTGTATTGCCGTCATCGACAACACGGGTCCAGCGATCGAAACAATAAAGTTGATTTGTCACGCATGATCTGCCTCTACGAAATCCATACTGAGCATCGCATAGCAGATTATGCTGTTCTAGGCAGGGCATTATTTCTCGCTTAATTATTTTTTCCATAATTTTGCAACAAACTGAAGTAAAGCTGAAGAGCCTATGGTTGTTTGCTAAGGCGTTAATAATAATAATCATAATTTCTTTAATGCCTGATTACAGGCATTGTCAGGGAAGCGTTAAACACAAATCCGACCAGCAGTGAAAAAAACTCCTGTGGAAAAGGGATAAAAGTATAGTTGATAGTGGTTTTTAAGGTCTTGAGGGTTCGGGAGAAAAACCTGCTGGAGACAAACTTTCGACCGTCAGGAAGGGCGGCATTGCATGGTATCGGATATTACCAATTGCCAATTTCTTTCTGTTATGACCCGCCTGGTACGTGAAATCCTGTGAAGCGTATGCGCACTCGACCCTTGTCCCCAATACCAACGCGGCAGAGAAGGAGAACGCGACCGGCCACGAAACTGTGTATTAGGAAAATGCAAGTCAAAATGAACTGGAAGTAACGCGTATTTATAACGCATTACGGCGCTTCGCCGGCGTTCGGCCCAATGCCCTTGGGGAAGAACATTCGAGACGAGCCGGT